AAGACGTCGGTTCGAATCCGACCGGATCGAAGGAATTTTTTCTGAGTTGTTCGATCTTTGTATTAATAATTAAAATAAATATTAGACAACGTCACAAACGTTGCTCTGACAAAGTAAATAGCTGAAGCACTTGTGTTATGGAAATCTGAAACAACGACCGTACCACAAACACCCAGACCGGAGACAATATAGAAAAGTTAGTTTCTACGTTGACCCGGCCGGGAATTGAACCCGGGACCTTAGATGGCGACACCATGATCATGACACCATGAGATAAACTAGTAAATAACAAGTTGGGTTAAATTTCGATCACCTCATTTCATCCGTGCTTGTCGCAGCAAGTATGATATGAAGGCATTGGAACATCACACTGGGAGTTAGTATATGAATAAGTCGTCGTAACCTAATAGTTTTACCTACCACCAGGCAGAAAGGATCGTGGATTTGAATCTGGGCTTGTACCTCTGAGTTTTTCGGAATTTATGTGCGAAATTTTATTTCAAATTACCTGTAAGGTTTTTAATGAACGAAAACATCGTGAGGCAACCTGCACATATCTGCAATCTTAGAATAATAACGCATAGAAACCTAGTCCGTACACGCTAAGTGCAGCAAATTGAAGCGCGCCAAAAGGGCCTACACGAGCGGGCGGGCCGTCAGTGCTCAAGGTCAACTTGCACCGCGAACAGCTCAAGAATTTTAGCTAAAAATGACGAAATGTGCGGTAAATGAGTGTAAAAATACGTCAGACAAACATAAAATAGATACTAACATCACATTCCACAAGGAAGTAACGCGTTTCAACTTGTATTTTTATATGAATATTCACTAAAACCGAAAATTAACCTACTACTAAAACTAGCCAACATGAATTTGATTTTTGCCTCACTTGTGACAGTTCGTTTGATATGAAACTATCATTCTATGCGTTATTATTCTAAGTCTGCAATACAATTTAATGGGTTACCTATGAGTAGTCCGAAACGATATTTTCCAGAAATAACGTTAGGTCGAAATTTCATAATCTCAAAAGTAATTTTGTGAGGAAAATGTTTTTTTCTTTTAAACCTAACTTAACCGAACCTAATCGTGTCTTTGTTATAATTCGGTTTTCGGTGTAATGAAAATTCGACGAAACGTTATTTCAAACAAAAATATTTTCGACTTTGGGATTTAATGACGAGTGTGAAGTTCCTCATTGAGCCCATGTAACAACTACAGCTCTTCTGGGAAGACGCCTGTGGGACTATATATAAGCTGACTATTATAGTAGTAGTTGTACACGGAAAAATTACTTTTAAAGCGTGGACTGCATCAACACTAACGTCCATCCCGTAAGCGTACTTGGTCACATAAATCTGTGGACTCTCGATGGCGCACGTAACCAGGTATTCTGTCAAACTCTGAAATAATGTGAAATCATTGAATAATTGTTATGCACTGAAAACAGGCATTCCAATCACGTTTCGTTTGCGAACTTTACTGGAAATGTTAATTAGTATTAACAAATTAATTAATAAATAAACAATAAATAAATAAGTGAATGGTTTACATTACTGTAAAAGAAAATGAATAAAAATAATTATTATGCTATTTAAATTTTTTCTCAACAAATACACAATGAGCAATATGTACATATTACTTACCTGTAATAATATTAAGGCTTTAGTAAATGGAATATGGTTAGAATTAGTTTCATTTATTCAGATTTTTACAATTTGCTGTGCCCTTATATGGTCCATAATGTACTTAATTTATGTTACATACCACCTTGTATATAACATTATGGTTTATATAAAGCATTGCGTATTGAAATTACGTGTTGTATATTTTAGTAACTGTTTTTTGTTTAATGTGAGTTAAGGAGAAGCGGAGCGGGGTAGTAGCGCACACTATAAAATATGATGACATCAGTGGCCCAACGGCTAATACTGTAGGCGCTGTATGACGAGGTCCCGGGTTCGATTCCCGGTAGGACCAAATTGGGAAACGAACTTTTCTAAACTGGTTCTGGTCTGGGTGAATGCGAACGAACGCGAACGATGCAAGCGTTTGTATCGATGCAGTCGCGCGTTTGCATTGATGCAATCGCCTATAAATTACTGGTGTAGCGATGCAATCGCGCGTTTTTAGTTATTGATAATTTCAAATAATAGGAAATTTATCACATGTTTCATTGATATTATGAACGATAACTACTCAGGAAACTTACTTCGGTACCAGACACAGCTACGTATTCCATTTTGTCAACTGCAGATTTACTACTATTAGTTTCAGACAACACGTAACTGAAAAGAAATAATATTTTTTATAGTAACTAGCATAGGTGTCCCAAAAAAGGGCATGACGTCACACTATAGTCGTTATCAATATCTAATTCGAAAAAAAAATGCAAAACGAGAGATCGTTGACTTAGCACAGACAAAGACTACTGCTCTCAAAGTCAAATAATCTTTATTAAGCAAATTACATTTGAAACCGTCGTATTGATTATATAGGGCGCACTATAAGTTTCTGGAACTGGCCACTTACCTAAACAATATTTAAAAAATAATTATAACATTTGAAAATGGAAATCTTTGACTGTAGAATATAGTTTGTTTCATCTGACTGTCACTTGTTTTTACATTATGGCATCATTTTAGAAATTGGTTGTCTACATCACCATGCATTGAACTCGTCAAAATTTTCGTAATATGATTTTCTACGACTTTAAGTGTAATTTAACAGCTCAGCGAAGCTTCACTCGGCTTCAAACTGCTTTTGGCGATGAAGCACCATGCAAGACGACTATTTATAGCTGGTTTGTAGAATTCAAACATGGTCGTGTGAATCTCAGTTACGAATTTCGTGATGGTCGCCCGTCCAGTGCAGTGAACAACAAAAACATCGATGCTGTGCGCCTTTTGATCAAAACAGTACAGGAGTGTGACATACCATGAGATTCGGGCATCTTTAGGCATAGGCATGAGTCAAATCAACCAAAAAATCAATACTATATAAACATTTGGGTGTGAAAAAGCTGTGCTCTCGGTGGATCCCACACAATTTGACTGAGGCTCAAAAAACGGATCGCGTCACTTGGTGCAATGCCATGCTTACCAGATTCAACGAAGGGGCGTCGAATTTGGTGTGGGACATAGTAACAGGTGACGAAACATGGGACTTATAGTTACGATCCCAAAACAAAGCAGCGATCCAGCGGATGGGTCTTTCGAGATGAGCCGACACCAACCAAAGTGGCGACCGTGCAAAGTGCCTCTATGCGGATGATTGCTTCTTTTTTAATAAAACTGGACACGTGGCTACTGTTGCTTTGGAGAATCGTTGTAGGTACTGTGAATAGTGACTGGTACATAACCATTGGTTTGCCGGAAGTTATTCATGATGAATTTTTGAAGGTGAACAACGTTGACCTTATGAGCCATCCCGCATACAGTCCCGACCTGGCACCTTGTGACTTTTATTTATTTCCAAAAATTAACAACCAGTTACGCGGTCAACGATTTTCGTCACCTGAAGAGGCATTCGAAGAGTGTGAAAAATATGTTTCAGAGATTTTCACGGAAGAGTAGCATAAATGTTTTCAAAATTGGTTCATTCGTATGAAAAAGTGCATTAACGCTAACAGAGAATATTTTGAGAAACAATAAATTCATTTCTGACCATTTATAGTATTTTTTTCTTGTATAGTCTGAAAACTTATAGTGCGCCACACGTACATTAGGCAGATTCCTTTGAAAATAATGAAAAAGGAACTCTAGGGGTTACTCTCTATAAATAAACTTTTATCATCTACAATCTTATTTTTAACCGACTTCAAAAAAGGAGGAAGTTCTCAATTCGACTTTTTTAACCGACTTCAAAAAAGTAGGAGGTTGTCGATTCGACTATGTTTTTTTTTGTATGTAGGTATGTTACACAATAACTCCGGCGGCATTTGTGAATCGACTTTGAAGATTCTTTTTTTGTTGGAAAGAGGGTACGTCAGTAGTGGCCCATTTAAATTTGAAGAAAGTATTCGACATCTAAGGGTGGCAAACTAGGGGATGAATGACTTTTGAGGTCGTTTTTTTAGTAGTCTGTACTGAGATTATAAATACAATAGATCGACACAACCTGCTGCTAATCGGGTCATCCAAGTACTTTGCGTACTTGCCGTAAGAAATAACCTTTACTAAAGTTTTTGTTTCAGTATAGCTTTAAAGCTCGTGAATGGCAAATTCTGAATAACAACCGGATTCTTGTTATAAAAGCGTATTGCCCCTTTATGACGACAACTGTAAAGAACAGCTAGTTTACCTATATGTCGCACTAATGATATGTTTGTCACTATTTTTCATTAAAAAATTAATGTGTCTTCACATAAATAACATTTTCATAAATGCACCGTGACGCTAGTGTAAGAATGTTAACGTCTTTAAACTTATATCTCGAAGACACTTTGGGGCCCTGATTGTAAATTGCCGTAACCGCATGTTTCTGCAGGACAAAAATTCGACGACTGTCGAGAACAGCTAGTTTATACCTTCTATTAATGTTTTGTCTGTTACTATTTTTCATAAATAAATTACTATACGTCTTTTCATAAATTACATTTTCATTAATGTGACGCTAGTGTAAGAATGTCATTTTCTTTAAACTTATCTCTCAAAGACACTTTGGGGCCCAGATTGTAAATTACCGTGAACCGCATGTTTCTGCAGTACAAAGATTCTATTAATATCGGCGGCATTCCCAAAGCAAAATGCAATATGTCATTAAATTGTGAAAGTAACTGAAGTAAACCAATATAGCGGTTTCGACGTCTGAAAGTTATTTATTAATCGTGTACACTGCAGAGCTCAGCCGTTACGATAACTTACTTATTTATTACCTAAAGATATACCTAAAAATACAATTATGTCTACTCCGTATCCCAGCTTTGTATCATGTATTCAGGTGAACATGTCCTATATAAAACTAATAAAATATGATTAGGAACTAACGCATGCGCTAATATTCTGGCACTGTTATCGTTCTGATCGTCTACACGCAACGCTAGCGTGGTGGCAGTATCTAGAGATTCAACGGTTAAAACCTGAAATCGTAAACAATTAAAAATTTTTTTTAATAACATCTTTCAGTAAATCAATATTGGGCAAGGTTGTACACAAATCACAAAATCCGAATTTAAAAATTCTTCTTAAAAGATACTTAGGCATCAGTGGCGAGGCATGATAATTGTCTTTAGTAAAGCCAGAGCAAAACAAAAAACACTAGCCTTAACAAGTGGCGCCTTGGCGATAATTAAAACACACAAGATACTAAGGTAAATGTCCAGTGGTTGACGCTTTAAGACGGAAAATCACGTATTTTGCCAAAAAGTACTTAATTATAAGTCATACCGACTACCTAGGTATGTTAACATATTAAATGGCTTGCCATTTATCTTCTAGGAACTATAAAATTTAAAATAATCATAGACATTATTAATATATTCCAGTTTTCCGCTACCTCTAAAATTGTACCAAGTGTATGACAAATAAAATTTCTAATGTCCCAATAGTTGACTATGGCACAGTGAGATCGGAGTGCCAGTATTTGACAGGACGATATATTAAGATTTCATAGTTATTTAACTGAATTAATCACTTGATAACATTAAATTTAATAAATAAGAAAAACCATAATCAATTGAGATGCTTTTTATAAATTAATAAATACCTACTTATTTCCCTTTGTAGTCAAGGTAAGTAAGTGCGTGCAAAAAACATATAAAATAGAAACTAGAAAATATACGGATGTAACAGAAAGGTGTAGTTATATTAGATGAACCAAAATAATGCGTACTTCATCTAGAGTCTCTGTGCAAAATTTAAAATAATAATGAGGTACTAAAATGTTGATATAAATTTAATGAAATTTTATGTTAGTGAAATTTTATACTGTAAAGTAATCCGCGGTATCCTATATTTTGTTGCTTCGATATTCATATTCCGACTGATAAAGTCACTTAAACTACTCAAAGTCTTAACGATTTCTATAACAAGAGCGACGCACGTTACACTCCGATCACCTGCTCTCAAAGACTTTCGCCATATTAAAAAAATATTGAATGAATCGATGAAAGCTTTTAAATTAAATTCATAGATGTCGTTACATTTAACATGCACACATATACGTCCCAATCTACCTTCTCAACTATTGTCATGCCCTTACAGGGTTGTCATACTTGTATCATGTGTGATATGTGCAATAAATAAATAAATAAATAAATAAATAAATAAATAAATAATCTTTGACAGTTTCATAATCTTAGTACACTTTATTTCACTGGTTAATTATTTTACGCGTAAAATTGAGCACAAAATTTAGTAAATTACTTTTAAATATTTACAATATTTGATAATACGTGGAAAATTTTTGGCAAGCCGGTGGGAATCGTATTATATGGTAGGGATGGGATTAAGCGACAAAATATAAATATTTTAATTGGTCGCATTACTTCATATTCTTGTTGGTGATTTTTTTTAGCAGTGTAAGTCAAATTTTATAACGTCACTTTCATCTCTTACGGCTTACAAACCCTGCTTCTTTGTTTACCTGATTTCTAAAGTCGAAAAAACTAAGTAGGTATAGAGAGAGCTAGACAATACTCCATTATGTCCAAGCTAATAGTACCAGGGTTTCTAGAATAACCTCGAAAACACAAGTGGCGGCTCTGGCAGCATGCATAGGAACCTCGTAACGCAACCCTCATTTCCCGCCTTATTTAAAATTACACAAATTACAACAATATAGTGGTATAGACACCAGTATTAATTATAAATTTTTCAAAGGCGGTGGAGACAAATTTTGTGATTAGCAGGTAAACCATCTTTGTGGTGCCACGGTATTGCGCGCAAGTCTCATTTTTCAAAAATCGTTTAAACAAAATGAACATTTGGATTTAAAAGCGGTTGCAGTTTTTCCAAATTTAAACATTTTTTTAGAATATTTTTAAGAAATGCAGTTCTATTTTGTTTAACAAAAATCAGTATGAAATTTATTTATTTAATATATTATTATATAATAATTAATCGAACCATATGACATCGATTTAAAAAAACATCGATTATTACGATTAATTGATTAATCGATACCCATCCCTATATTATATGGAAATCTGGCCACTGTTAGGTATAGTCATTATGCCTCCTACTTAGATTCTATGAGAAAAACTTTTAATAAGGTCGTTGCGTATTCACCAAGTCGTGCACATCTAACCAAATGATGACAAATACCTATAGGGTAGCCACATATTTTACAGACCGACTGAAGGAAATGAATGGTTATTAAACAGCTCGCTGAAGGAATTGTCGCTCAGAAGGTATATAGAACCAAGGTAGTGAGGAGGCTAAGGATCACAAGTGGTGGTATATTTATCAGTTAGGATTCGACCGGTTGGTGATGATGACACCTAAAAGAGTCTCACATCTCCGTATAACAACCGCGATGATCTTATGTCTTCTTCGAGTTGCGTAAGCGTGGTGGCCAAGGAGAGACCCATAAAAACGCCCGTCACCATCGCCGCTATTACCTGAAATAAATACATGAACTTACCTAATTATATTGACGAAAACATACGTGGTAACCAAACCGTGAACCTGCTGTTTGGGAAAAACAAATATTATTTCACTGCGATTACTAGCGACAGACAGTGGGTAAAATTAGGTAGTATTAGACGTTCCCTGTGTAACTGGAAAAAAAAACATCACACGAGTGTTTCACTGCCTAATTATTAATTTTTTTATAACATCAAGTGACGGGACGAACAAGTCGTGTGATGGTAAGCTACACGCCTGTCCATAACAGTTGCAGTGGGTAAACCGCTAAGATCTGAGGGGCACTGCCAAAGCGCCCATCGTCCTGAGACATAAGTTGACAAGTCCCATGTGCCGGTGATTTCACCAGCTCCCTTACCCTTCAACACCGGAACGCAGTAACGCTAATGTAAGCTATACTGGCTTGTTTATGGGAAAGGTGGCAATACTTCCCTGGACGTACTCTTTCACAAAGGAGCTTTACTGCTGCTAAAAGCTTTAAAATTAGGGCTACGCTATCAGCTGATGTTACTGCTTGCTTGGCGGTAGTACTTCCGAGGGTGAACTCGTTCACAAAGTGCTTTAACATACCCAACATGTTCATCTTATTGCTATACTCTAGTCAACTTCGATGTAGAATAAATGTCAACAAACAAAACATATGATTTTTAGGGTTTTCATCTCAGACTCTTTCAGTTACCACAATTTCAAAATTTTCCTACGAAATTCGACTAGATTATAGATAGTACCAAATCTTGAAGCCATATTTATAATGAATATTATTTAACAGAAGTTTCAAATCACTTAAAAATGATATAAAAATGACCAGTAATTAATTGTTTGTAAAACTGTGTCATCCCTAGTAACTTTTTGATTTTAATGTAGAGATTGCAAACATTCGGGTTCTGGTGGTAATTCAAGTTCAGAATCGGAAATAGATGCTGGATGATATAATATGTGGTAAATTAATATCAAATAAAATCTTATAATTTTGTATCTTTTCATCTACCATTACCTACCATCTAGCAGTAAATACTAATAGGATGCAACAACTATTTTTAGTCCTAAACCATACGTATCAATAGGTATTTTTTTAACTTTATAATAATTGGCTAGCTAAGTATTACTTCTACATAACCAAATTGCCTACCTACGCATTTAAATTCCAATTAAGGGAGCAGGCCGTGGGCAGAGCAAGCCTTAATAATGAACTTTGAAAAAAAAAAGTTATTTTCCTATGCCATCATTGGTTCCCTAGCAACGATTTGTTATTAAACATTCTACATCGAATTTGGCTAGACTATAGTATGTAAATAATAAAATACGTTAAATCTAAATTAGATTGTACTTAAGTGACCAGACTTCGTATATATTAAGTTTTTTATTTTTTTAGCGAATAAATAAAGAGGTATTGGTAAGAGAGAACTTACTGTAATAATCAGAAAAAACCGATAATGGACATGAAATGTGAAAAACTTCCAGCCCATGACACGTATGTGAAGGATGCATGCAAAAAACGTAAGTTTTTTTGTCCAGGTTCTTGGCTCTGCACATAAAATATTAAAACAAGAAAATAAGGATGTGGCGTCACAAAATAGCTACAATGTAAATGTCCAATCTTCAATAACATTAACTTGCCTGAAATCTTTTTCAGAGCCACATGTGAAACAAGATGCGAATGTGTACTCCGTGTGTCTGTCGATCTCTTCTCTTTTACATCGCACAAAATTCTGTTAAAAAATATCACTGTAGAGATATGATTCTTGAAGTAGCATTCGCTTAGCAACGTCAAAGTCACTGTTTTATTCAATGTTTTTCCAATTTATTTCCAAATATTTTCTCTCACAATGTTGTCTTTATAAAATTTGAGTATCACGTTATATGGGCTGGTTTTTAGAAACTAATTCTACCAATATGTCGTCCTTTTGCAAAGAAAACGCTGCTTTTTTTGACTGCCTCTGGAGCGACCGCGTCGCAAGACTCGAGTCGCGCGATGGCCGCAGCTTAACCCGTCAGTGTTCCCTATTAATCCATACAAAACAGAGAGTCGCGGTCGCAGTCTCGTGTCGCGGTCGCTAAGAACATAATACTACCTTTATTGGTGTAATCGTACCTACAACGTATTATTGTTCGTTTTGAGTGTGGCGGGACAACGTGCCGAGATTTTGGAAAAAAATAACAAATAGCCAAAAATGAACGCTCCAGTATCAAGCAAATCACAGGAAAGCTGGGTTTAAGCCCACAACCAAGTCCTTACCTTCGAAACACCTCCTCAGTGTCTGCAACGCTGATGTTCATATAACTTATACCATAACTCTGCGCATTGTCATTAAAATCCTTAATAAGCGCAGCGACTCGCTCTGTTGGGGTGGCAGGTATTCTCAAAATTAGTAGCGAGCCAAGATGGGCACGGACTGAAGCCCCTGCTTCCTGGGCTTTTTGCAGAATCTGCACTGCACGGTCGTCATATTTGTCTTTCACGTTTCGTAGACTGAGTCGAAAACGATACTCTCGCCCTTAAAATTTAATTAATATACAGGGTACAGTCAAGAGCACGTCAAGCTTGACAATTTGTACTTTGGACCGTTCTTATCGTAAGCGGCATAGAGTTGGATTTAACTCTTAAGTGTCAAGCTTGATGTGCTCTTGACCCTGTACCTATGTACTAGAATTTTGGTTCTTATTTTTGCGTTAACACGTCTTTACAGAGTTCTCTCAGCAAAAGCATCAATTTTGAAATAGGTGAATTGGTAAGTAGGCATAAATAAAGACATTCTCATATGCTGTATGGGAGACAGGGTACAAAAGTAACACTCTGTACTTTTTCTGTGATTTCCGGCTATTATTCATATATTCATTAATCATATTTTCGATAAAATTAATATAACCCTTCACAAGTTTCGTTTAAACTCTACAAATGCATATTATAATTTTGTTTAGTGGATCACGATGGCTCACAATAAAAAGCTGCAAAAAAATTACGATTGTTACTTCGCACTGAGGGTCAGGTCGGAAGCAACACGGTACCGGGCGAAAGCAACGCTATTAACGTCTTGCGCAATATTATTTTGTACAATGAAATAGAAACACGCAATGAAATAAAAATTTTTATTAGAGACTGTTTTGATGATGGGGGCGCAACGAAATATTCAAATTTCCACTTCCATGCATTTTTACGTTCCATCAAGTTAAATAACTTAAGGCTTATGTTTGCATTTTCCAGATCGTATATCCCTTTGCATATTTCGCACCGTAGATGCTCTTGTTTTGGTGGAATGTTTATCCAGCTATATCACCAAAAAAAAATGCACAGATTCGTCATTTCGTAGTCGTGATGTTAGGGCTGAGGTTCCTTTTTGAATTGGCACAATTCTTCTTAAATTACCGTAGATTTCACTCACGCGCGGCTATTGCAGTATACACAACACAGTATTTATGAAATTGTAGTAAATTATTTGTAGTAATTAATTTTATAAAACAAAAAATATATAGACGATGTTTGTTTACGGACAGCGGCGCCATCTCCCACCACGTTCTTGTTGTTACATATGCCAGTACCCTAAAACTGAATGTGTTGCACTAAAATCATTTATAACATGCTACAGACAATCTAATTACAAATGACTAGGCAAAAGCTCAACTCACGATGACCCTCGGATTAGCGCGCCCGGATCAGATTGTGGTCGGCGTCTGACGCATCACTGCGCGTAAGTAACGCACTGCGGTGCGCGTAACAGCTCGACTGTAACCAAGCGTCGAAAACACAAATTTGTATCTTAATGATGGGAAAATAGAAACGAATATGCTATAGGCGAAAAACATGTCGCGTCGCGACGCTACGACTACGCCAGTGTGAGTTGAGCCAAATAGTCAAGTTGATGTCATCATTTAACACTACGTAAATACTAAATCAATTAACATAGAAAAACTTACCTTCGGTGCGTAAAATCACGTAGCGTCCTCTTACATAACCTAACAGCGCGACGCGGGCGCAGCGATTGATCGCAAGCACGGGAGGGTATTCGCAAGCTGACGTTCAACAGTCACGCGCGTTACTTCGGCCATTGGATAATTCTACACAGCCGTTACTTTTGTACCCTGTCTTCCCTACACTCGTACTTCTTATCTTGTTGCTAATTCTCTTTACGTGTTGAAAGTGCTGACAAAAGTAGGTTATTTATTAAAGTTGAATTATGGCGTATTTCGTAGTCTTATGAGATTGGTAATAGACCCTTTCAAGATCGTTGAGGCCTTAACCTATAATTCGTAAACCGTTGAGTCGCAGCCTATTCTTTTACGATTTTTCGCAAAGTAATTATTGCTACTTGTTCGCGTCATTAATCCTAAATAAAATAAGATGATAAAGTAAATGCCATAATTACCAACAAATAGACGTAACAAACCCGTAATATCTGTTTTAATCGACGAGGATATAATCTCGTATTAATTTCTAGGGTAAAACCAGAATAGATGCCCCTTAGAATAAAATAAGTAAAATTCATAACAAAATGTTTTATTTGTATATATATATATGCGTAATTAAACTTACTACCTACTTTACTACGTATTTTTTTAGCTATTCAAACATTATATTAAAATAATTTGTCTTTTTCATACATTTACTTACTTTTACTTTATTTACTAAGATCAGCAGGTCATTACTGTTTCCTTCACTAAAATAATGTTTTTTTTTCCTATCGCGACGACAATCCTTTTCGATATGGATAGATATCCTTTTATTTTTTAAATAAGCTATATTTACAAAAGAACGATTATTGACACCTACGTGTGAACTTAATGAACCATCAGTGTATTAATAATAATTTTATATCACATTTTACATTTTATATCTATTATAAAATAGATATAAAATGAAATTTATTATTACTTACAAAGTTATGTGACAGTAAATATTTACGTATGAAATTTTGAAGCGTTTGTCTTGTTTTTGGCGGAGAAAAACGCACGCCATAGCGAAATGCGTCTATTCCACACAAAGGCCAGCGGGGGCTGGGGCGAATGGCGTCTATATTCCTTATTTAAACTAACTTCTCTTTGTTGCGAAATTGGGAAGTTGGGTTTTTAAAAAACGAGACACCTATCCTGGTTTCACCCTAATCCTGACTATAATTTGTATACAAATATGCTTAATATGGTATAGTATAGAAGAAAATAAATAAAAAATTGAATTATGTGGTCCAATTGCAGTCCCTTTTTTCTTATTTAAGAGTAAGGCTTTAGTCAGTGGGCTAATCGCCAACTATCTTTTGTTGTGTGTGTGTGTTTGCTCTAATTTTAGTTTCTTGATGCGACACGACATTACATTTTTCCCTTAATTCTAAGAAAACATTGTGTGACTTCAAGACGTTTATCAAACTTACCATACTTAAAGAACATGTAAGCAGGTGTACCGCCAAACGCCAGGTTGGGTTTGTCGAATATAAATACTCGATCGGCTTGTTCCAGGTGCACGCTAGTGAAGCTTATTTTTACTATCGTCACATATTTCTTGTAACTCTACAGGAAAATAAAACTTAAATCAAAATTTAAAAAATCTCCCGATGCAAGATCGAAAACTCAATAGTCACCATCTGTAAGCTAACAACTCATCGAGTCGAGATTAATTGAATGAGTCCAAACACGGTTCTACCAGGGCACAGACACTCGCTCGAACGCTAGGTGCGATAAGTGCCTACCGCTCAGTATACCGCCGACAGTGCAAGCGCGAAGACAATTCTTTCATTTACATTACAATCCTTGTACAACCCCAGCATTCGGTTCCGCACGACTTCACAAGACGGGCAACGTTATTTTCGCCCTTCTGAGCGCGTGCTTAGGTTCCTTTTTTTCGTAGAGAGCACCTGGTGTCATTAGTCAGATTTAGTAGGCTATTATAGCATAGGTTGTTCCATTTTGCATGAGAATGATGTATCGTACGTTACGTAGTAACTATTAAGTAATCTGTGGTTCTACTGTAAGTAGTTGAGGAATAGGATAATTTACTGACTGTCTTGGTTGCAGCATCAGGATAAATACTATTGTAATGTCATCAGATTGCCTTGGACCTACCTATATCAAATTTCAAGTCGATCGGATAAGTGGAAATAAAAAAAAAACTCATTTCACAACAGATCCCTACAGTAACTGAGAAAAGAGTCGATGATGTTTAAAAGCTAACCAGATGTTCATCAAACATAACTAAGAATTATCCCGAAATTAACCGTCAAATTAGCTTCCAACTTAGGGGAAGTTTTTGCGTCGGAGTTATTAATTAAAAGCAGTGTCTAATTTCTGAATATTTTGATAAGTACCCTCAGTCATAAGTTAAGCGATTGAAACTGACACTTTTGAAACGACAAATTTGAACGCGTTGTGAATAATGTAGGGGAGAAGGAGCCACCTTTCACTAACTTAGCTAGCTTAGAACAAATGCGCAGCTAAATTTAGTGAAAATGTAATAGGAATTATGTTTATAATAAGGCACCACTGAGCCCCATACCTGTCAGAGGCAGGGGCCAATGTGCGCGAGCGCAAAAAACTGAAGAGAGGTCGTGTTTAGTTTCAATGTCGAAAAGTAAACAATATCAAAAATAGATGTAAGGATATTACTGGAAGAATAATAGATAATGGTGAATTGGACATTGCTGCTCGTATGGATTGTTTTATTGCTAAAATATTAAATATACAGCGTGCAATCGTTGAGTATTTTTACGCATGAAAAATTTTTGTTATTTTGTACTCATTGAGGCAAATTTGAACAAATCAAAGGCGGCAGCTTTGAGCACATTCAGAGGTTCTGATTAGCTTCCTCTGCTAATTTTTATTAGAAGAGGTTTTGTTTAGTTATTTTTTTAGTTATGTTCATTGTTTTGTACTATTCCTGTGATTTTATAATTATATATATAGGAAGAAGTTAAGCTTTTATTTATTTTTTATATTGCAGTAGTAATTTAGAGTGCAATTGAGTTTCGGTTCCGTGTCCAAACTTTTTTGTAATAGTCCTGTGATCATAGATTTAACAAAACGGGTTGAAGAACTATATTGTAAAAGATTTTTGATAACGTATTTAACAAACATTTTTTGCAATAAATAGGTAATTTTCATTTAAATTGATGAATTCAAAGATGCACCAGGTGAGTTTAAAGCTGCCCCAGGCACATATTACTTAATAGTTCTCCAGTCTTATAAACTTTTAGATCATGCATATTATGAATGATTATAGCCAAAGGATAGGTCTAGTCTAACTGCTGCAGCAAACAAAACAAATAAATAATAATGATTTAGGATTTTACAACCAGATATGTAAAAAATGTTGAAAAATGTTGGTGCCCCTTTCTTCCATACTTAAATTCAATTTACTTGGATTTCGAACGGCAAATTTGAACGCTTTGTAAATACCGCATTTGAATCCAATGCAAAGAAATTTGTCAATGTACCTATAGTATTTAAATATGGAGTGGTTTTAGCTATTTATCACCACGCCAGACACGACGGGTTGGTGATCGCAACCGGTTGTGTCAGATACTGTCGTCGCTTGTAGATATTTCCTTCCTTCGGCCGTACTCTTCCACTCGAGGTCTGCCTTTATACAAGCTGGCAGGCTGCTGCCCACTGCCACGGCCTAACACTTATGAAGTGGCGACCATTGGCCAACACGCGCGGCAGAGGTCGTCCGCAACATCGTTGGGTGGATGACATTAAAATTTTCGCGGGCCGCAACTGGATGCATGTGTCACGGGAGCGACGAAAATGGACAGATTTGGAGGAGGCCTATATCCGAAGACGGATGGAGTGGAGGCTGCTTAATGATGATGACCTATAGTATATATACGTGTAACCATCGCAAATATAACCAGAAATAGAGACGAAATATTATTTAATTTGTTTGAAAACTATTCTGCCAAATCATTACTGTGACAACTGCGCTCCTATTGGCCAGATCGAATTCGAAACAACTGACGGGTGTCGTCAATTGTTTCACTTCAAATCGACCAGTTTAATATAATAAACCAGTTGCTATAATGGACGGAAATTGCAAAATTACATATTTAATATTTAATTAACGATGAAATGTGATTCCGTTTTTTTTTCTAATTTAAGGTTTTGCTGTTTTTCCCACACCACAGAATGGAACAGCCCCAATTGCTAGAGGTATTATTTTTATTACAATAAACACAGATCAACTGATCTGGTTGGCGCTGTACTATTTCAGTTTTCTAATTTGTGATTTCAGCATAAACGAGAATTTATATTTAAAAGAGATATAAGGCCCATTTGCCTGATGAATTGCCAGGGATGGATAGCCCTTATTTCGTCTCTGTTTCTAGTAATATACTCGATGCGTGTAAGCTACCGTTACCATGTTACAGGATTTTCTAAAATGTTTGTTGATTCTCCTTTATCAATGTTACAACTAGATTGAGTCAAGAGTGAGGCGTATAAGAGGAGCCATATCAGGATCCAAAAGTACTTATTAGCTTTTACACTATTACGGATAAAAAAACTTACCACTATCCTATCCTTTATAACATCAAAATGCACAGCACAGGCACCATAAGTTGGAACTATTATTACCTGTAAGAACAAACGAGACGATGGATCAATAAAGTGTTCTTATTATAGAGAATGGAGGACTTATTTTATTTTCATCATCATGCCGGCCGTTTTATTATCCAATCTTGGATGTAGGCCTCTTCCCTCTTCTTCGACTCTTGGCGGTCTTGTACCCGACTAATACATTTCCGACCTCCGTGTCGTCGGATGACGTCCAACCAACGCTGCGGTGGTGTGCTGCGCCCTCTGATATCCGCTCTGGGTCTCCACTCAAGTACCCGCCTTGTTCAGTACCTCTCGTCCATTCTCGCAATGTGCCCTGCCCATTATTGGGCCCACCTTTTCTTCGCCACGTCAACCATGACATCTTTAACTTTGGTCCTATTTCGGATCCAAGCGTTGCTTTTTTCGGTCTCGCAGGGTAACTCCGAGCATTGCTCTCTTCATGCCCCACTGTACGACTCGGAACCTCTCGGCGGACTTCTTTATAAGAGTCATGGTTTCCGTGCCATAGACGAGCACGGGCATGATACGCTTCGAAAACTTTAACTTCGAGATGTAGGGGTATTTTGCCACATAGCGTTTGTTTGTTGGCACCGAGTGCAGCCCACGCCTGAGCGACCCATAGTTCCACTTCCGCTCTTTAGTTCTCAAAGCCCAGTGTAACCTTATGTCCCAAGTATATGTAATCGGTCACTTTCTCCACTGGAAGCTGGTAGTTTTTGACTTAATGAATGTTGGTCATGATCTTGGTTTTCCCAATGTTCATTTTAAGGCCAGTCTTTTTTATTTTATATGATACCAAATTACGGGACGAACAAGTTGTGCGCCTTGTGGTTAGCGACATGCCTGTTCACAGTTGTAGTGCCAATCAGAGCTTTCACAAAGAATTGAGGAACACTGTCACTGCGCCCATCACCTTGATACATAATTTGATGTCCCATGCGCCTGTGATTTCACTAGCACCCTTACCCTTCAAAACGGGAGAAAAGAACCAAAATTGTCAAGAAAACTAGTAAATATTCGGGGGCAAAAACTATTTACAATTAAACATTTAATTTTGTTGAATGTTGAATAATGTAGCATTTGTAATAATACTGTTATTACAAAATGTTGATTGCTTTCTGATTTAGACGATTCTATTTCCCTTTCTATTGAGTAGATACGCTTGAAAATGGCTTAGAAATAAATCGTTACGAAAAATCGTTAGATCGTATGCACTTGAATCGATCCTCATAAAAATCGATTTGTAATGTGCATTCATAGTAGTGAGAATCCTCGTGATTGTACGGTGGGTATTGTGTGTAGTTTCTTCTTTTTCGTTTAAAAAAAGAAATTTTACACCGAAATTTGTAATAAGTATGGAATAATACCAAATTCCGAATTCGCCGTTTCTGCTCACGATTTTGGGCGGAAATGGGTTAAAACTCGAAAAAACCGGGTTGATTGGATTTTAACCCACAGTCCATCTCTGGAGGTAAGTTTTACAACCACAGGTCGGTAATTTACACGGCCTGTGATTTACTCGGTACGTATATATACAGAAGGAGATAAATGCTGTACCCGAGGTTCCATCAACAACGCCAATGCCCAGGAGAGCTGAGCACGATAGTAAACATCTAACTGTGACACTCTATAGTTCAACACCGCTTCCAGGTCACATTCCCGCAACAGTTTTTGGAGTCGAAGATGAGTATACTCTGCGACATATTGCTGGTGTTCGTTCCAAAGGCAGATCTGCAAATGGAAAAAACTGTGTCGATGACATTTATTATAAACAAGAATGGGCATTATTTGAATTAATTGTAATTAAAATACACAAATATGTTATTTGGATTTGTATTTTAAATGTTACCCAAACATTTAGTGTATTATAATTGGTATTTTTTAAATCTGTCAGTAATTTATTTTGTAATTGATATTTCAAATACTTTCTTTTTGTCTTGGTTAGTGGTATTTAAAGTACATATAAGAAAGTATTTCTTAATTTATATTATAAGTAAGTCAGCACGTATTTTGTCCAGCACTAATTACAGTGTAGTAAAGATGTTAATAATTGGGTAAGTCAAGAAATAGGTAATTTTATATTATTACTTTTATTTTCTTGCTTGAAAATAAGCAAAATAAAAATTGAAGCAAATTAATTTGACACTCCGAGTACCAACTGAAGGTTAAATGTGCAAAATAGTTGCTGCACTTGTGTTGAATATATTTTTAATGCAGTTATCTAATTTAAAAAATAAAATTCAATGCAGCTATTTTTCATTTCAATATACTATCTTATACCAAAATTTAGCTAAGTTTGAACAGTTTCAACCTGTGTGATCGAGACTACCTAGCTTTAGATACCGCACCACTGAACTGACTGAACGACAACAAGACTGTCGGCGAGCCATTTCGCGCTAAGGCGGCTTTAATATTTGTATATAGTTTTCATTTTTTCATTACGAAACTTGTACGTTAATATACAACATCATTGTACATTACTTTTTATAATGGTCGTTAATTGTGTTGTGTACGGCTGTTTATCATCATCTAAACGGGATAAAGAGAGATTCATTTTCCGAAAGATGAAACGAAGTAAGTAAAAAAAAATTATGTCTGAGACTCATTCAGTTATTTTTTTCTTCATTTATTTAGTGCAGAGTAATATATTACAATACAGATTTATTATATCAATGTAATGAGACGCCATAAGTTCGTAACCTAGTACAGACAAGACAAGAAATCCAAAGACAAGGGTTCTCGAATTTTGAATTGGTATTTCCGATAAATATTATGTAGTAAATATGCGTAATTATTAACTAGGGAACCTTGGACACGCAATTTCAAATACCTTGGTTACCTTATTTAAAAGTACCTGTCCAAAATATAACATTTTAAGTGATTTTTTAATATATTTTTCAATACATTTTCAATATTGTTCTAGTTAGTGAATTAATGAAATATATAATATTATATCGATATAAATACCTAATGAACTTATGTAATTACTAAATAGATAACAGATTCGCGTTAGAATTTTCGCTATATTGCCGCTCTGAACACGTAACGTAACAAATAGTACGAGAAAGTGATGGGTAACCTTGCCACTTCACTCACACATTTGCGCGTGTGCAGATAACGCCTTACTGGATGTAGCAGTAAGTAAGTAACTTTCGACCGTTGTATGGAGTGTCTGGGGTGTGCTTCAGTTGGACGAATAATTAGCCCATGATAATAAGCGTAACCAACATTCTGCCGATAGTCGATATAATATTTATCGACTGCAATCGCTAGCTGCTTGCAAGAAAGCAACACTTTTGGGCAATGAACTATATAAAATATATATATGAATAATAAGTAACTTACGTCAATGAACATCATAAGGTGCTCTTCAACGGTGAGATCATCGATGAGGCTAGTGCCGTTGTCACAGTAGCCCAGCATGTACGGTTCCGCCATGAAATTCCGGGATGGCGTCATGTCTGTGCCCATGACGTTTATCGTTCCATTATCTGGGAACGTTAATCCTGAAAAGTACACATTATTTCAAAGTTTAATACATAAACCTATAGCAATGATGTATGTACAATTATCATCATCATTTCAGAAGCAGGTGTCCTTTGCTGGACGTAGACTTCCGTAAAGATCGTCACAACGACCGTTTCGCGCTGCTTGCACTCAGCGAATTCATCATTGATTCACTTTGTACTGCGTCGTCCTAGATCCTCGGCTTATTATATACAAATATCTCTTTGTCCCCATCGGCTTTCTTTTCTGCGAGGGTTACCATAATGTACAACACAAAGAACAAATTTGAAAATGACTTAATACTATAAAGTAAGCCTTCAACTTCACAAGAAAAGCAAATTAGTCATCACAGTATACAGGGTGTAATCGTTAAGTGTGCACAGGCGATTATTCCATAATTACAAAATATAGAGAATACCATAGCCGGATAGCAGATACAGTAAACGATGCATGGGCATGTTTAGTATAAGTGTATCAGAAGACCGAAAAGGACGGCAGAACGTAGAAGAGTGAAAAGTAAAACGGTCTTTAAGGTAAAGAGGCGTATAGGAATGGAATAGGGTAGAGTAAAGAAGGGAAAGTGTGTGAAGGTCTCTACGTCGGTGGATGGGCAGCCATTTAAGTTGTGCGTGAAACTGGGAAACATGATCAAACTTCGAAACTGTCAATCAAAATCGACATTAATAACATTTTAAAAATAAAACTAGAAATAACCAAAAAGTTAACATTAAACGCTCCCATACATATTTAATACACCTAACTTATCACAAACTCGAATTTCTTTTTTCCGAAATAACGTTTGTTCGAATTATTATTACCCCGAAAATCAAATTATAACGAAACCGTTGTTTTTTTCAGGATATGTTGGATTTTTATCGCAAAGACACGATTAGGTTCAGTTAGGTTAGGTTAAGTTAGGTTTAAAAGAAAAAACAATTACCTCTCAAAATTACTTTCGAGGTTATGAAAATTCGAGCAAACATTATTTCTGGAAAATGTCATTCTGGTCTTCTGATAGGTAGCCATTTAATACGACATCCGTAGAGAGGCTTCAGTTTTCCTACTGTAAGAGGTAGTAATAAGTTAACAGATGACAAAACGCATACAAATAAAGTAGTAAAACTATTTTTTAATTGAATAAATATATAATGGTATAGTCAACAACAAAAGAAGTTGGTCAAATTAATCAATTTTTTTTTAACAATAATTTATAATTAAACTTTATAGTGTTGGCATATCGCTGAAAGTTCAACACCATCAATACGTATTACTATTATTTATTTTTATATAATTTATTATTTATTATTGCACGTTACGTTTTGACAGTATATTGAAATTTCAATCAATGTCCTGTCATCTACTGGTTAATTGTTGAAAGACGACGAATTGGAGTTATTAATTTAGCTCTCCAAAAAAGAAGCGACTATATTGCAGGGGTATAAGCTTTGCTTTTCTTTTCTTGTAACAGAAACTTGAAAATTTATTAAAATATAACTTCCGATGATATGAAATACCAACACGGGTAATATTTATAGTGCGACTATCATTTATGCACTCCAAAATAGCACAATAAGGCATTTTTCTAGGATTTAAGAGAATTTGCACGAAAGAATGGCACAACCATACCGTACAAAGCGAAAATGGCGAATTGAGCTCATATAGGGTCTTTCGAAACCTATAGTTTCCTAAACCTATAGTTGGAGACGGACGCTGTAGGACCAGAACCGATAGTGTCCCTCCCCTGCCAATGGTCCAGAACAACTATACACAAAGGTACAAAATCTTTACATAATAATACATGGACCACACTTACGGTTTGTAGACAGGCGAGGGAAGCACTCCCAACGCTCAACGCCAGTCTATCTCGAATACTAATTAAACTTAAAAGGCAAGAGCTTCGCACTCTAACTGCCGCCCTAACGGGTCATGGTCCATACAATAAACACCTTTTCAATTTAGGTATCACAGACAGCCCTCTATGCAGAGCGTGCATGGAGGGGGAGGAAACGGCTGCGCACATCCTACTTCAGTGCTCCGGCGTGGCCAACTACAGGGCAAAATACCTTGGAGTGCCAAGGTCGCTCCCCGAAGTCTTCAGCAAACCAAGGAGGCTGCTGAGATTCCTGGAGGAGCTTGGGTGGCACGAGTAGGACCCTGCACCCACCACACGCAAAATAGGCGCTTTGTCGTCGAGTTGCGGATACCAGCCCGTTGCACCAATGGGTCAAAATCCATCAAGTATATAATAAATTTATCAAGTCTCATGTGCCTGTAATATCATCAGCAACTCTACCTTTCAAAATTAGAATACAGTATTGCTCATATTACTACGTACCAGGAATGCACATTACAATTAGATTTTTATGAATATCAATTCGAGTGTATACGATCTATTTTTGGTACTGATTCATTTCAATGCGATATTAAGTAAATCGATACAACATTAAGGCGAAACGGGCGCCTCGATCGTATTCATAATTTAAACATGTAGTTTCAAATATGTAGTTTCTTTCTTTTTTAGATTAGTTATTGTAGTAACAAACTGAGTCGTGTTGAATCTAATGATATTTGAATCAAAATTTCATGGTATTTACTTACATAATAATTATATTAATAAATTACGCATATGATACATAAATTTGGGTAAGCATTTTATTATTTAGTCATTACATTTTTTTTTTTTTTTTTTGGCTTACAAAACTGGTTACAATGCTTTCAGTCTTAAATAGAAACATGCTTAATTACTACACGAGTACAATGAAACCTACTAGATGTAAGCACAACATGCATATCATTTTCATGTACTACTTCTTACGAACTAATTTGGACTCGGCTAGCCCAATTCCTGTTTATAACTAAAATAAAAAGATTAAAAGTTACTTAAGGTTATTAAGAAAAAGTTAAAGTTAAAGTTACTCAAACTAATAAAGAAACATGATAAATTAAATTAGATTTTTGAATAAATGTTACGTACACATCGTTTAGCTGAGGAGAAAGAACCACTGAAAATATCGAAATCATTTCGAATGTAGTTGTAGTCGCTACACATTCTATACAAAGGAAAATGATGACCGAGCCTTGTCTTGCATGCAGGCAAAGCAAAGGTTTTCCGATTTTGTAATCGGCTACCTTGCCGAGGGAGAGAAAACTTGACACGCTCCAAAATATCTGGTGAATCAATGTGACCATGGATTAATTTATATAAAAACATGATATCTGAAATTTTTCTGCGCACATATAATAAAGAAAGACTGTAATGAGCGACACGCGGCTGATAGGAGAGAAGACGTTTACACATGTTATCAGAGTATGTCAAATGGTACAAGAATCGCTTCTGCACAAGCTCCAATCTATTAGAATAGACCTGGTAACCTGGATTCCATACTGGACTACAATATTCAAGAATACTCCGTATTAAGGAGTTGTAAATGATTACGGTGAGTTGTGGATCCTTCAGTGTTTTCATTTGTCGAATAATAAAACCAGACAATCTAGACGTTTTTGTAATGATCGAATCTATATGATGTCTAAAACTAAGAGTACTGTCCATAGTCAAACCCAGGTCGCGAATCTGAGTGACCTCTGTCAGAGGCTTGCCCTGAATAAAGTAAGTAGCTGTGATAGGATAGGACTTCCTACTAAATTTAATATGAAAACATTTACTTAAATTAAGTTTCATGCCATTTTTATTACACCAATCATTTATGTTATCCACATCTGCCTGAAGAGCACATATGTCATTTGAACTGGTGATTGATCGGTATATTTTTAAATCGTCTGCATACATTTTGATTTTAGACGTAATCATTCTGGTTATGTCGTCAATAAATATAAGAAAAAACAAAGGTCCCAAATGGGATCCTTGTGGTACGCCAGAAGGAACACTCCTGGTTATTGATTGATAACCATGAATGGCTACCAACTGAGATCGATTTTTCAGGTATGACTCACACCATCTCAAAAGAGATCCGTGAATACCCATGTGTTCAATTTTCAAAATCAGAAGGTCATGGTTTACTAGGTCAAAGGCCTTTTTAAAATCGGTATACACTGCATGTACCTCTCCTCTGTTATCGAGCACATCACAGACATAGTCTACGTATGCAACTAAATTGGAAGCTGTTGACTTACGAGGTCGAAATCCATGCTGGTCTGCGTTAAGAAAACCCTTAATATGATTATAAATATACTTGTGTACAAAGGACTCAAGGACTTTCCCAGCTGTTGATAAGAGAGAAATTGGTCTATAATTACTTACTTCATCCAGAGCACCTCCTTTATGAATAGGAGTGAGACGCGCAGTCTTCCAAATCGTGGGAAATGTTCCTGAACTAAGAGAGACATTAAATATCATACATAAAGGTTTAGATAGTTGATTTGCACAGTATTTGAACAAAATTGGTGGTAATGAATCGGGCCCTACTCCCTTATTGCAATCTAGAGAGGATAAATAATCTAACACCTCACTTTCCGATACAGAAAAACTGCTCAGCGCAGGGATATTATTACCATCCAAAAATCCACGGCTAAGATCAATTGAAGATGTAACATCGTTTTCATATACAGTCTGGAAATAGTGTGAGAACAAATCGCATATCTGTTGTCCACCAGTAGCATTTACATTAACCAACCTTACTTCGTTAGGAATGTTCACTCGATTTGACTTTTTGTTGTTAATGAATTGCCAAAAGTTCTTTGGATTGACACGCATATGTACTTTAGCCTGCTCTTTGAATTTAGCATAGCACTCCGTAATTAAAGCATCGCATCGCTTTCTCAATATATTATAGGTAAGTTTATCTAATGGATTATTATATTTTTTATGTCTGGAGTGGTACTTTGCTTTTTCTTTGATGACTTTAATCAGCGGCGGGCTATACCATACAGGGTATTTAGTGTCTCTCCTAACTTTATTAGGTGTAAATTTATGTATTATTGGCATGATGGAATTATAGAATTTGTCTACCATATCGTTCACGTCTTTCATGTCACTCCAGATTACGTTCCAATCTAGCAGACTTAACTCGTGATTAATGGCTTCAAAATTACTTACTCCAAAATTTAAACTAGTATTGTGCTTAGGATTTATCCATTTGTTATGGGTGGAAAATAAAATATTAATTACTAAGGGGGGATGATGGTCATCAACTTTTTCAAGTAATGTATCAGAGGCTCGAACAACAGTCAGGTTGTCTGGTTGTTTAAAAAATACTAAGTCGAGTGTTCTCTCGTTTAAGTTCTTAATAGCGTTACATTGAAATAGGTTGTTAAAAGACATGTTATCTATAAGCATATTTTCAAGATTAGCTGTAATTGGCAGAGAAGACAAATAAGTACTCTCTGCATTCATTACCCATACTAAGTTGGGTAAGTTGAAGTCTCCCAAAACCAACGCTAAAGAAGACTGGGAAATGTTGTTTTGAATGTTATGGGTTATATTACTAAGCAACTCCTCTAAGTAATCAACTTTAGGAGGCGGAGGAACATAAACTACACAAATATGCAATTCCCGACCATGGTAACATTTCAAAGTAACCCACAACTCTTCACACATTGATTCCCAGTTAGTTCGTCTAAGAGGCTTATATTTCTTACTTACAGCCAAAACGATACCCCCGCCGTCCTTTTTAGTTTTGTGAGATGAAGTGGTACATCGGTCTCTTCTGAATATATCATATCTATCGTCAAGAAGTTCACGATTGAAAACGGTATCATTAAGCCAAGACTCGGTCAACGCTATCACGTCATAATCATTGCTTAATGCTGATGTATATAATTTCTCAGTTTTGGTTCTTAATCCCCTAACATTGGCATAATATATTTTTAAAGACATTGTGATGAAAGAAAATATATAAAAAAAAACATGCACCGACTAAAAATTTAATATTAATACTAAAAATATTGTACTACAGAGACTTTAGGAAATCCATATTTTTAACAAGCTTAGCAGAGTCTTTCTGGTCTTTGCGAATGAATACACGACCGTTTTTTACCCAAACAAATTCATAGTGCTTTTCTTTTGCGACTGATCATGTTGCTGCATGCAGTAGCTTGTTTGCTGGCGATAAATGTTCCATCACGTAAACTGGCTTCTTGCTGGATGCTATACCAAGATGCGATGTATTCAATTTGTCTTGTTTGTTATGCTCATTAAAGACCTTAGTCGCAGCCAATACTGAATCGCGTGTACGCGTACTAGAGAACTTCACTATGATATTTCTGGGCCGGTCGGATTTCGAATTCTGTTTTGCCACACGGTGAAAAGACAAAATTTCATTATCAGGAACATTGCACGACACAATCTTTAAAAGTTGTTGAATGAGATTGAGCAAGTTTTCATTCTTAAATTCAGGTACAGATTGTATTTCGATATTACATTCTCTATACTGCTGCTCCATATGTCCTAGTTTTATACTTATGTCTGCTACCTGAGCACTTAGAAGAGTATTGTCCTTAATTAACTGGCGTATTGTACCTTCCGTCTCTTTATTTAATTTGACCTGATCATCATGCCGCTCCGATAAGAACTGCACGGAATGTATTGCCTCGTCAAGATCAGCACGAATTGATGAAATCTTGGTACTAAGATCTGTAACTTCTGTTTGCATTACTGAAAGAATAGAATTAGTTTTTTCGAGACTGACTTTTTGCGTTTCAAACTGGTTGTTCATGTCCGACCTCAGGCGCCGAATCTCTTCCAAAATCGAGTCGTTAATGCCTTGCGGAGATGGTTGCGATTTGCTTATTGGTTTAAGCATTCCTGCTGCATGTGCTTGACGTACAGGGGAACAGTCATCATTTCTTCTCTTAGTCACATTAACGCATGACGGACACTTTAATTTAGCCAGTTGCTTGGAATCCATTTCCGTGACACTTTTTTGCTCAATACTAAGACAGGCCAAACAATACTTAGTATTGCAGGCGTTACACTTTAGATGATTATTATCAATTAATCGCTCTTCACAACCTGCGCAGATCATATTGACGTCAAAATGTATTTGCAATAAAAAAAAAAAAAGCAAAAAAAATTACATAACGCATTATTTGTTAATTATGTGTATTTAATTGCGTACATAAAAATGTCAGTGTCCCCGTGTGTAATGTTTGTTTGGTGCCACATAATACCAGAGCGCCGTGGCTGTGCTCAGCCACGGCATATGCTGAGTGGTGCCCATTCAGTATCTTAATTTTAGTTTTAACTTATTTTTTTTATTTTCAGTACAATTTAAAATTAACGGTACTGAATAAAATGTTCTTTATTCTTCTTTCTAATCAAAACAGTCTCTTTCTGGACTCCTATTTTATACTGGTCAACAAGAAAAGCGGTTTGACAATACCTAAACACAATAAGCTACAATATCTGGCTATTGTCGCAACTTCTGTGCTATCTGAACGTCTTTTCTCACTGGCTAGTATCACCCTAAGTGAAAGTCGTAACCATAGATATAGGAAAAACCGACTGAAGCCAAAAAGGCTGGCATTATTTTTTTTATTAATTATTTTTTTATCAAAATTGTTCTATAAGAAAACGACTCAAGAGCATACGATCCTTTCTGTGGATCAATTCAGAGGCATATCATCCAAAAAATCGATTCAAAGCGAAAAAAGTGCATGCCTACTACGTACTTCTTGGACGAACCTTCCACAAAGAGCCCTACAGCTACTGAACATACTTAACAGTCATAAAGTTAAATGGGGCAATACAGCTGTGCAACAATACACTCGTTATAGCAGCACTAGAGCTCCTTGTAAAAGGTTCATCCAGGGAAGTATTACCATCTTACCTATTTCTGCCGCCAAGCAGGAATGTTAGCGTTACTGCGTTCCGGTTTTGAAGGGTAAGGGTGTTGGTGAAATTACAGGCACATGGGACTTGTCAACTTATGTCTCAGGGTGACGGGCGCAGTGGCAGTGTCCCTCAGATTTTTGCGATACAAAGCTCTGAGTTGCACTGCAACTGTTATGGACAGGCGTGTAGCTTACCATCAGGCACACACGACTCGTTCCGCCCGTTACTTGATATTATAAAAATAAAAAACAAAAAACAACAACAATGCCATGGACTCAGTCATGGCAGGACACACAAGTAGTACACTTATTGATTTTTATCTTCTGGTATTCGGGTAGGTACAACCCTGTACTAACCACAAAGTAAATCTTCTATTGTACTCATCATTTTCTCCTGTGCTCTTTCAGTAAACAAAATGGTATACTCGCCTCGATAGATTTCAAATGACACTTTTTGTAATAGTGTATTCTGCATGATGCTCTGAAAGTAAGACATTATTAACTACGTGGTCATCATATCCGTGAATGCAAGTCCCTTTTTTATGTATTAGTACTTTCTCGTATCGGAAACCAAGAGCCACTTCGGGTTAAGTAGCTACTCACTCATTAAAATATATCACTGCAACAGCGGTAGCGCCTATCATTACTGTTTCATATTGAACAAGGAACCCAATTGCGATTATGTCCGATGCTAATAAAATAATTACCAAATTCTGGCGTTCCTTTGACATAAATAAAATATGCCCAACCGTTCTGACCGAGCCCATTTTTCTGCCGAGTGTAGAATAGCCAACAATTCCTGAGAATATTTCATAGAGAGGCGAAACTTGTGCCGACTTTATTTTTGGCGTTGGTGTTTGTGATTTTAGTTGCGTTATTCGCGGAATAACAAATTCATTTATTTCCATTTTTATTCAATGCTAATCTATACAGGTGGCAGTTTAGACCTTTAAACATTTGCAGATATACCCATAAAGAACCCTTATAACACGTACTAAAGTATTTTACCTTAGACACATTATTGAAAGTTATAGCCTTGGCGACAAATTCATCCACTTCTTGCAGATGTTCACGGCCTGTGTCAGTCGGGATTTCTATTGGGCGTAACTTTTCTATGTCCTGCAATTGATATCAGGTATATATTCACACTGTATATCATTAAAACTGATGATTATCACTTAAAAAAAAAACATTTTCGTCCGTAGAAATCAACTGTATGTTTAACATGAAATACAAGTACAGTAGTGTCATAAAACAAGTATGGTAACTGCGTACAAAATAGCAGCTTACTAACGCACACATTCGCATAAAAATGAAAGGCGTGTTGGATGACCAACGCTATGCAACGCGAGTACATCGGGCGATTATGCGAATGTGTGAACCCCTCAGTCGAGTGTAGTTGTACTCTGTATTTTTATTTGTTTGTGCCGTAAAAATAGTGTTGGAGAATATTGTCCGTGAGTTAATAAAGACAGTAGAAGGTTTATCGCGTAAAGTAGATCTGTCATGTGTCTGTGACAAAATATGTTTTTGAGATATCATGAAAAACCATACCCCAGTTTTAGAAGTAAGTAAGTAAGCTCCGATAAGTCGAACTTGTTAACTAATTTTAACTGTTTTAAAAGAGAATTTTGTGCTCTATTTTTTGCTATTTGAAACGGTTCTTTGGCCATTTGTCACTTAACGTCATTGACCTACCAATAAATGGACATCGGGTTCCCGCTTAAAAGTGTCCGCATCTATAGGGCGTTAAAATCACATACAGAGCGTCAATCGCGCAACAGTCTTCGTTTGTTCGACTGTCAACGCGGTTGTCAATCATGCAGTACCATATAATAATAACTTGTAAAAATTACTACAGTAAAGTGTAAAAACAGGGTTTTGTATCATATTTTCACTAAACAAATATATTGTGTTATCATAATTCTCATTTAAAACTGTTATTTTGTACACTTTTATAGTATTTAATTTATATATAAATGAATCGTAAATATAAATTACAAAAGCACACAAAATAGTCAAATAGCTAACTGTCCCTTTTCTATACATTGCATGCGCAAAAGCTAAAAAGAGACCCATTGTGTCAATTTCAAGAAGCTTATATATAAACTTCTTGGTCATATTCAATTGTTCGAACCACAAGCGATTGAAATATTTAGAACAAAGAAACTATAGAGTCGCTTTGATTTTAATCTTATTTTTTAAATGATTTTTAATTAAACGTTAGCAATAACTAACAAAATATTGTTGTACTCGTTTTACGGCTTGGGATTACCTATTAGAAGTCAGAAAATACATTTGCCCGAAATAACGTTAGCTCGACTTTTCATAATGTCAAATGTAATTTTTTTTGAAAGATTACAAAATGAAAACTAATTTTGTCTTTGTGAAAAGCATTAAAATTACACGAAAGCGTAACGGTTTTATTATAAATCGGTTTTCGGAATTACGGATATTTGAGTTTACGTTTAGTTGTAATATCGGTACACGCTTATTTTCATATTTGTAGTAATATTTCTATGTATGTATCTGCCCAACTCTCTATTATTTCTTTAAGTGAATTTGTACAAAATTCGACATAATAATATATATAAAAATTAATTAATATTACAATAAAGGCTACTCCATTACTCTTGTGTTCAAGTAATTTGCAGTCGAAGCTAAATATAGCGCATTTTGTTAAATTTCCAGTAGAAGCTGAATATGGTGTTTTTGGTCCCTGAAATTGTTGCAAGCAAAATTAGGTAGTACTGCAATGACGTTACAATTTAAATTAAATGTTTTAGTTTTTTATATTTCGTTACATGTTTATTATATTACGCTTGTGTAGGTTAACTTCGGACATCTTTTTCGTGGTTTTTGTATTAGACCCGACGTCCATTTGTTGGTAGGTCAATGCTTAACCGCGTTTTAAAGTGCAAAGTGTATAATTGTAATAAGTCTTCATATATTAACATAAACGAAGAAACAAGGAGTTGGAATTTTATTTCTGGAACTTCCTAATATTATACTATGGTACAAGCGTTTCACGCTTAACGTAACAAAAGTTCAAATAAGTGTTGGTGGCTGTAATAAAATATAACCTACCTCTGCTTTCTTAAACATAATCGATTTCCACGACACTTGTCCTCCTATGGCCCTCTCCTGACCGATAGTGTATTGCAACAGTATCAGCAGAGTTGAGTACAAGAATATCAGTATTAACCATGAAATGATTGTGTACACCATTGATTGTGTTTCCGTAGCTGAAAATCGAAGACATTTTAAGTAGGTAAATGCAACCATTAAGTAAGTAGGTACAAATAAGTACGTAGTACTGACGTAGGGTCGGTATCATAATGACTATATCTTCAAAATTACCTGATCAGCGTAAGGACTAGATCGCAAAACGACCACCTCTGTAGAAAGACTATATAACTTACAATGACTTGGTAGCAAAACGGCTACATATCGAAATGACCATAACGTTAAATAGACGATATGGTAAAACGATAAGGTACAGTTTAGTTAAAAATTTATTGTTTAAAAAATACGAATGAAAATTAAGTTATAAAATTGGTTCCAATTTATACTTTAAATAGTACTTAATAGTAGAAATATTTTTGAGAAATGTAATGTCAGTCTTTTTACTGTACGCGTGGTTAAAGCTTCTAATTATTTTCAAACGCTGAAACTCGGCTTCTTTTTTAGTGAATGTAGACTAATGTAGGCTTGTGCTGCATTCGAATATTCCACATACGATTTCAGTTAAAAAACATACTTGAGCTATTATAAATAAGAGGACTATAATTTGATTTTACAATAATTTTTAGTTGGCAATGTTGGCCGTGGTAGCATAAACAAATACAAATTATAAAAATTTTGTTGAATTTTTTTATTATAGCACTAAATGTTTAACCAAACTGTACTATGAAAAAACAATAACAAAATTTAGTTATTTTGCCACCTTGTGGTTTTACCATGTGATTCATGGCGTTTTGCTACCAAGTCATTATAGTTATAGTCTTTCTGCAGGAACGCTCGTTTTGCAATCTAGTCCTTATGCTAGTCAGGTCATTTTGAAGATATAGTCATTATGAGACCGAAATTATACGCATTGTAACAGAAATAAAATGGTTTTTCAAAAGACTATTTACAATTAATTTCATCAGTCAATCGTAGTTTATCTGTAAGTACTCTATTCCTTCGTAATACTCTGTTCCAATAGGGTACACTGGGTCTATTTATAAACTTACGCGTCCCGGTGTGTATTAAAGCGAACTCGTCCAAGCCATTCAATAAACCCAAAGGCGGTATGGCCATGTGCAGTATGTATATGAAAGCGCTTTGCATCGAACTGTAATTGTGATTCACCATCAACTCCGCCAAGAAGGTTTGCAGTAATGTGAAAAGACTTGACCACACACAAGAGGTCCACGCTAAAAAGAATGTTAATTTATTTGCTATTTTAATGAAGTTAATGCTAAAGGGCTTTGAACACAATGTGCAACATGAGTCGACGAAGTTTCGACCAACCATGAGGCTGAATCATGTTCTGTGGTCGGAGAGTCACAACATATATATCCGCTCACACGATACATGCAGCCGTAGACGCATACCACACCTAGAGATGCCGGTGATGATTTTATACCGATTTATCGGATATCGAAGTTGTAACAGGTAAAAGAACTAATATTAATTGCTATTTCGGTAACTACTCTAGCAAACCATAAAGTTTTTAATGCCTGGGTCTGTCATTTAAAAAAATAAACAACTTCAAATATACGTCACGACAATCGTGTGTGTTATTGTTTGGGCTGGTGATTTCGGTGTTTGTTTATTGAAAACATACCGTAAGTAGCGTTTTTTAAGTTTACCCTGAATAAAAATGTTTATAAACTATACTTTAAGGAGTAATTTCATGGTAAACGTTAGAACTACTCAAACGGAATATTACCATACTCGTATTTATCCAAGTACAAAAAATTTCATTAGTGCTTTTTAAGTGCAGGATTTGCGGTGTATTACTGCATTTTATTTGAGATGTTTTTGTTGGTAGTACGGAGGGTATTTATTTAGCGATGCAGAATAATAATTTTTATTTATAAAAACTTGTATTTAAACTGAATGCTTTTCTAATTTGCGAAACCAAATAGCCCCCATTTTGCGGTAGGAGGAGCGCATCGCGTGAGCGGTTATAATGAAATCACGAACACGACATTGAGTCGGGAGCGCCAACAACTAGCGTGGTTAATCATAATAAACTACACAGATTCTGGCCGCACTGACTGATCATGCGACTAGATGTGTGACTACTTGGTCGTGGCGACCAAGTGCATGATTAAAAGCGTATAGTAATAAGGACGGTAAGGCCAGGTAAGGATAGTCGTTGATTGTCAAGTACGCGAGACGCCTAAATAGGAAAATTTACCTATACTTGCGTAATTATTAATACAAAGATCGAATACTCAGAAAAAATTCCTTCGATCCGGTCGGATTCGAACCGACGTCTT